ACCTACATAGGTGAAACAAATACTAACAGAATTAAAGGGGGAAATAGAATGCAATGCATTCATCCTAGGAGACTTCAACACACCACTCACTCCAAAGGACAGATCAACCAGACAGAAAATAAGTAAGGACACAGAGGCACTGAACAACACATTAGAACAGATGAATCTAACACACATCTACAGAACGCTCCACCCAAAAGCAGCAGGATACACATTCTTCTCAGTGTACATGGAACATTTTCCAGAATAGATGATATACTAGTTCACAAAAAGAGCCTCAGTAAATACAGAAGGATTGAAATTGTACCAACGAGCTTCTTAGACCACAAGGGTATGAAACTAGAAATAAATTACACAAAGAAAACAAAAAGGCTCACAAACACATGGAGGCTTAACAACATGCTCCTAAATAATCAATGAATCAATGACCAAATAAAAACAGAGATCGAGCAATATATGGTGACAAATGACAACAATAATTCAACACCACAAAATCTGTGGGACATAGTGAAGGCCGTGCTAAGAGGGAAGTATATTGCAATACAGGAACACCTCAAGAAAGAAGAACAATCCCTAATGAATAGTCTAAACTCACAATTAAAGAAACTAGAAAAAGAAGAACAAATGAGGCCCAAAGTCAGTAGAAGGAGGGACAAAATAAAGATTAGAGCAGAAATAAATAAAATCAAGAAGAATAAAACAATAGAAAGAATCAATGAAACAAGGAGTTGGTTCTTCAAGAAAATTAACAAAATAGATAAACCCCTAGTCAGATTTATCAAGAAATAGCTTGTGTTGGCAAAAGTGGACAGCTACATGTTAGAGAATGAAACTTTATTATTGTCTAACTCTATACACAAAAGTAAACTTTAAATGGATCAAAGACCTAAATATAAGTCATGAAACCATAAAAGTCTTAGAAGAAAATAGAGGCAAAAAATCTCTTGACTATAAACATGGGCAACTTTTTCCTGAGCACATCTCCTCAGGAAGGGAAGTGAAAGCAAAAAGGAACAAATGGGACTACATCAAACTAAAAAGCTTCTGTACAGCAAAGGACACCATCAGAAGAACAAAAAGGCATCCTACCATATGGAGAATATATTTGTAAATGACATATCTGACAAGGGGTTTATATCCAAAATATATAAAGAACTCACAAGCCTCAACACTCAAAAAGCAAATAATCAATTAAAAAATAGGTAGAAGATATGAACAGACAGTTCTCCGAAGAGGAAATTCAGATGGCCAACAGACAAATGAAAAGATGCTCCACATCGCTAATTATCAGGGAAATGCAAATTAAAACCACAATGGGATATCACCTCATACCAGTAGGATGGCCAACACCCAAAAGATAAGGAACAACAAATGCTGGTGAAGATGTAGAGAAAGGGGAACCCTCTTACACAGTTGGTGGGAATGTAAATTAGTTCAACCATTGTGGAAAGCAATATGGAGATTCCTCAAAAATCTAAAAATAGAAATACCATTTGACCCAGGCATTCACTCCTAGGAATTTATCCAAAGAAAACAAGATCCCAGATTAAAAAAGACATATGCACCCCTATGTTCATCACAGCACTATTTACATAGCCAAGATATGAAAGCACCCTAAGTGGCCATTAGTAGATGAATGGATAAAGAGGAGGTGGCACATACACACAATGGAATATTATTACGCCATAAGAAACAAATGCTACCTTTTTCAACATGAATGGAGCTAGAAGGTATTATGCTCAGTGAAATAAACCAGGTGGAGAAAGACAAGTACCAAATGATTTCCCTCATTTGTGGAGTATAACAACAAAGCAAAACTGAAGGAAAAAAACAAACAGGAGCAGACTCACAGACTCTAAGAAGGTACTAGTAGTTACTAAAGGGGAGGGGTGGGTGGGGAGGAAGGTAGAAGGGGAATAAGGGGTATTATGATTGGCACACATGGTGTTTGGGAGGCATTATGGGGAAGACAGAAAAGCACAGAGAAGACAAGTAGTGATTCTGTGGCATCTTACTCTACTGATGGCCAGTGACTGCAATGGGGTGTGGGGGGTACTTGATAATATGGGTGAATGTAGTAACCACAATGTTTTTCATGTAAAACCTTCATAAGAGTGTATATCAATGATACCTTAATAAGAAAAAATGAGATTAAGTATCTTTTTCATGTATGTATGTATTAGCCATGTGGCTATGCTCTTTTAAGAACGGCCTATTGATATCTCTCATCCATTTTCCTATTGGATTGTCTGCCCTTTTCTTATAGATGAATAATTCTTTGTATATTCTGACTATAAACCTTTTCAGTTATGTGTGTTGCAATTTTCTTCCACTTGATAGCTTTTATTTTCAGTATCTTAATAGTGTATTTGGATGACTATTGACAGTCACTTAATAGTGTATTTGGAGAAGTTCTAATACAGTCCAATTTATCTTTTTCCCTCATGCGTCAGTGTTAGTGTGTCTGTTTAAAAAACCATTCCCTATCCCAAGGCCAAGAAGCTATTCTGCTGTCATCTTTTGAAGCTTTATTGTTTTACTTTCATATTTGTATCTTAATCAGTCTAGAATTGATTTTTGTGTATGGAGTGAGGTAGGGATCAAGTTTTTATTCCTCCTATTTCACTCCGGTGGACTCAGCATCTGCTTTCTGTTACAGCTCTACAGGGCTACTTTTGTCTTTCTCTCACCACTCTACATTGACACTGTTGTCATAACCCAGGCATTCATCCAGGTGGGGGTCTATTACTGGACTATTCATATTATTAGTCTATTTGCTTATGTTCACTCCAACACCATACTCTCTAATTCTTGTAGCTTTAATGTAAGCTTGGATATCCAAGAGGAAGTTCCTTTAATTTTGCTGTTCTTCAAAATTACCTGTTATTCTAGACTTTGCCCTTTGCACATCCATACAGACGTTTAGAATCAGATTATCAACATCTGCACACATGCAAAAACCACTCCCATTTTGGGAATGAATTGGATGTCCAATCAGTTGGGAATTAATTGAATCCAAGACAATTGACATCTTAACAAAATAGAGTTTTCTAATCATAGCCTTGATGTAATCTTACATTTTACTTAAGATTTTAAAACTCAATTTCTCCCACTAATGTTTTCTAGTTGTCTATGTAATGGTCCTGCCTATCTTTCATTAGATTCATTTCTAGGATTTGACTTTTTAAATGTTATTGTTAAGAGGTATTAAATTTAAAAATTCTATGTATAATTACTGGGTACTGAAATACTTAGGATTGACCTTCTGTCCAGTCACTTTGCTAAATTTATTTCTTAATACCTTATTTGTAGATTCTTGTATTTTCCACATATACATTCTCATCATTTGTGATTAATGACAGCTTTACTTTGGAAGAGGCACATTTTATGAAGGAGGATGTGGAGGAATTGGAAACTTCATACATTACTGAAGGGAATAGAAAATGATGTGGCTACTTTGGCCAACAGTTGGTAGTTCCTCAAGATATTCAAAGTAGTTGCTATATTGCTATATGATCCACCAATTCCACTCCTGGGTATATACCCAAATGAACTGAAAGTAAAAATCTACCCAAAAACTTATACATGAATGTTTATAGCAGCATTATTCACAATAGCTAAGAAGTAGAAACAACCCGTGTCCACCAACAGTGAGGGGACAAATAAGACGTTGCATATCTGTACAATGAAGTATTATTCATAAACAGAAAGGAATGAAATACTGATACATACTACAACATATGTGAAACTTGAAAAAACTATGCTAAGTGAAAGAAGTCAATCACAAAAGACCACATATTGCATGAATCCCTTTATATAGAATGTCTAAAACAGGCAAATCCATACAAACAGGAAACATGACTGGTTGCTTAGGACTATGTTGTGAATGGGGAGGGATGGCTAATGGGTACATTTTTGGGATGGGAGTGATGAAATATTCTCAAATTAGATGGGGTGATAATGGTATAACTCTGAATATTCTAAAACCACTCATCTGTACATTTTAAATGGGTGAATTTTACAGTACGTGATTTATATCTCAGTAAAGATGTTTAAAATTTTTACGTAGGAGTGTGAAAGCTTAAAGAAGTAAAGGTACACTAATGTTCTTTGATATAATCTCCAAATTGGGGGATTTTTGGCAATCTCAACTTTTTCTTTATCCTTTTTCCAGATTTTCCAAGAACATGTACTTTCATAATTAGAAAAATATAAAAAGAATGTTACAAAAATGTAGAATCTTTCCTCCTCTTCCCCCGCCCAACAGCAACAATAGCAATAGCAAAAACACCCAAAAAAAGAAAAACCCAATAACATGGTTTGAAGGAGAAATGAGTTGGCACCTGAGTTCAAGACTGTCTTAACCCAGGATAACTTAAAACAAGAGTTAAATGGTGGCACATGGTAGCTAAGGAAGCAAAGGGCATTTAGTAGGAAACCTTTTGCTTTTCACCTTTTTTCGGTATAACTGTTGCATATATTGGTTTCAGATGTACAATATAGTGTAATTTAACATTGGTATAGTACACACATATAGTGTACATTGTGGAATGATTGCCACAATAAGTCTAGTTACTAGGAAAGCAATATTAAGTCACATGTTTAAGATTTTCCCATAACTGATATGAACAAAATGTTACACAAGATAGATAAATTTTGCATCCCTGGCCAGAATAAATTGAAAAAGGCTAGTGAGAAAGTTGGTAGTATGATTTTTAAGTAGTTAACACTTTGATCAGAATGTTAGATGAGGAAAAAGTGACAGGGTAACTTAAAATGTCTGCATGGCAAAATTGGCAGGGAATTGTGATGGTCTAGTTGGAATTAAAGAGGATACCAAAACCATACATGTGAAAGGACAAGGGCTCTCCTGATGCCAGAGAAAGTGGCCGAGGAACAGTTCTGATGGAAAAGTTGTGCACGTGACGATAAACAAGTGCTGTTACCATTATTTTCAATCAGGATTCCAATCTTTGAATTCAATTGTCCTATTTGCTATCTGACTTTTGTCAAAGTACTTAACCTCTTTGAGCTTCAGTTTCCTGTATTTTTAAAAGCAGATATTGAAAGATCAATACCTACTTCACAGGGTAGTTTTAAGGGTTATATCAGGAAGTACATAAAGGCACTTAGCATAAATGCCTGGCACATGCATTTAAAAAATGTCTCAAAATGTACTTATATTGCCAGTGGGTGAAACTGGGTGAAGGGTACACAGAACCTCCCTGTATTTTTTTCTTGCAACTTGCTGTAAATCTGCAATTATTTCAAAATAAAAAGTTAACAAATGTATTAGCTATCTTGTGTATGAATTTTATTGCATCACTTGTGCTAATGCTTTTCTTACCAAAGGAATCAAGAACCAGGAACACACGCAGTTTGGTTACAGAGTTACACAGAAGTGAAATTAGAATAGGAGCAACTTCTGAAACATAGAACCATAGACAGCCTTGCTGTGGAGGGACCTTATCATCAAGGTATAGTTTAATCACTGAACTTATCTGGGTTTCAATATGTGGTTTGCTTATAGCTTTTTCCTGGTTCAACTTGACTCATCCATCCAGATTCAGAATTATAAGCATTTCTTCAGCACACACACTCGCGGGTAGGCTCTCCACATTACTTTGAATGTGACTGCAACTAATGCTTTCTGCATTTTAAGAAAAAGGCATAAGGAAAATTAACACTGCTATGTTGATCCACTTAATGCTCGCCGTTTTCATATCTTACTTTTTCCAACGAAATGAATTATATAGGATGCCATACATCGGCTGGAATAACTACAGAATTCTCAGAGGAGAATCTTTTTGGCTATACAAACTTGGAGCACTGAAAAAGCACTGGAGTACTTACCATGGTGGATAAGAAACAGAGGATTTATTTTCCTTTATACTCAGCTTACAGTAGTGGTTATAACAGGACACTATTCAGTTCAGAACCAGCCTATGTCAAGAAACCGCGGCGGTGGCTGATCTGGGGACAGAGGTTATGTTCTGTCGCTTTCCACAGGCAGCCTTCAACTCCTGTAAATGGAGAAAGAACAGCCTGAATGGGGCTCAGTTCTGTGGCTATTTTCCCTCTATTTCCCTTCTTTCATTTTTAGGATGGTGTGAGAAAATGGATCTTTAGCTGATGTGAATAAAAAGAGATCCTATGTCTGAAAACCAAAACCAAACTGTGGGAGATCTTGGAAAGGCTAAGATTTCACATTTTGGAATGTCACCTTGACATGGAACTTTAACAGGGACTAGAAGAGGCACAGAAAGGGAAGATAAAAATTTCACACAAATATTTACCTTTATATGATTTACCAAAATATGTATAGGAGACTTTAGTTAAGAGATTGGCAATTAATTTTTAAAAAAGGAAAATATTTGCTCTTTTTACCTGAGAATGGTGTCAACCTGGAGAAAAACACAAAGACGAATAAAAATGAATGTTAAAAACTTGTTTTAAAAGCATTTTATCATATAGGTATTTTTCCATTTTTCATATGATTCATATTTTATTATTCCAAGCAACAACTAGTAGGTCTGCTTTTTATACCCATTCTGCTTCAAGAATTATTCTAAAGAAAAATGTAAATGGTTCAATTACCAATACAAAAGTAATAAATGGGATAGCATCAAGCAAGCCAGGTTGGTTTTTTGTTTGTTCATCAACAATATTTTCCCCATGATATTTGTTACGTTTGTTTGTGATTCAAGAGCCAACTGCATCAATTTCCAAGGCTCCTTGGTTACTAATAAAAGTTTCCACTATCCTTTGGAAGAGGATTTATTCTGAAAACTTCAGGCATTTGTAGCCACATAGTTGGACAACACTTTCTCAAAAATTACATGCACAATTCCCTCTGTTTTACAGACTTCAGTGGCAAAGCAGGTTAACAATTTATACCTTGTGTTATGCTCTGATCACTAGACAACAGACAGCTTCTGGCATCTACAGGCTACATTTTAAGAGAACTTGGGGTAAAGGTACACAGAACAATGACTGCTACTCTGTTTAAAAATTGTTTTTTATAAGGAGGGAACAATGCATTTTATAGAGTACTACTGGTTTAAAAACACTTTATCTTATTTTTGAGAAAGGAAGAGATAGAGAAAAATAAAATGTAAAGAATGTGTTCTATTTGTGCTGAATAAGGATACTGTCACTGAAAAGTCTGAAACCATATTGCCTAAAGGGACCTGTTGTAACATGTAATGCAGGTAAGATGATAAACATACACAGCTCTTAAACAATATGGACAGAATAATACAAACCTTCCTCCTTTGAGAATAAAGAGGTAAAACTTCCTGAGGCCTACCTACAAAAGGCAGAGCTAGTTATTCCGTATTCCAGGCAAGCATTTGGTATATAACAACATCTCTTTAATCACGATCACTGAGAATTTTAAGTCTGAGTTTACTGGGTAGATGATGACAATAGCTTTCTTCGTCTTTAGGTGTTCTGTGGCTGAAGTATAATTGGCATTCTGCAGAATTTGTTTGGTTGAAAGAAGATCACTAGTTAGTGTAGATCCAAACCCTCTTTCCTCCACCTACCCGTAATTGCTAAAGTGGTTAGGTGTCTGCAAGACGTGTAGTAGCAGTGGGGCATGGGTTGAGTCAGTTGGAACTGATTTCTGTCGATAGTTGGTGAATTTCTAACTCCTGGTCATTTTGAAAGTGTCAGCTGAATTCACACTAGGACATTCTACAAAGGAAGTAGAAAAAAACGACAATTTGGCCTTTAATTTGAATTATTCTATACTTGAGAAAATTAGACACATCGCCAGAGTTAGGGATTCTATTCCAACTTCTTTTCCTCTCAGAAATTTAATACACACTATATAATGTGTCCCACTTTGTAAGATTTAAGAGGGAAGTTTTGGGAATAGCTCTGTAGAACCCACTTTATTTCACAGAATCATGCATTTCAGAAGAACTGGTTCCTTAGTCTGATCGCTTAATGGCATTATATGCCAATATCGTGCCCTTGTTTGAGACTACACTTTAGAAAGGAACAGGCTGTAACTATTAAGAATCCCCTCTCTTCTCCAAGAGACAGAACCTCCAATTGGCGTCAATTAAGCATCTGTGCTTTGTTCTGCACTTCAGGAGACTACGATTTTGGAGGCCTCTGGGGAAGTTGGAGATCGATTTAGAATCGTGGAGCTAGGACAGTGTGATTTAGAATCGTGGAGCTAGGACAGTGTGAAATGGAGTCAGAAAACCAGGGTTCTGTTCCCACTTTGCACCAGGGATCTTGAGGTAGTCACATAACACGTTAAAGAATGCGGGAGTAATAAAATCTGTAATAACGATTTCAGTTGAGCACCTCAAGGGCTACCAAAATTTTATAACTAATTTTTTTTTTTTTTAAAAACGCGCTAATCCTAGGACCTCTTCTTCCAGCATCTCCTAGCTATACAGGACCATTCTAAATTCCTTACATTCCTCGCTAATTCCAGTAATCCCAAGAGGCAGATATCATCCTTCTGTTCACAATTTGGTTACACACCTAAGTAAATGGCAGGATCAAAATTTGAACCCAGGCCTGCCACCACTCTAGCCGGAGGAGCTTCCGCTTTGTCAGCTCGGGATCAGGAAGACACGAGGATAATTAACCTGTGTCTCAGATGTAAACGTGCTGTGTGTAAAAAAGCCGGCGGAACAAGGATGATTTTGTCATTCAAAGAGCGGGCAGCCGGGCCCTGGGCTTTGTTACTACCAGTCACTTCGCGGAGGCCCCCGGCGCGCGGGGAGGCGGTGCTTCCTTCCCCCGGAGGGTGGGACCCTCGGCCTCGGCCAGGCCACGGATCGCCGACGACGTACGTACAGCCCTGGGGAGGAAGCGCGGGGCGGCGAACGGCGCGCCCTCGGAGAAGGGCCGCGTCCGATCAGGCGGTGGGCGAGACCGGTGACCCAATAAAGCGAGCCGGGCCGCCCGAGGCCCCGCCCTGCCCCTGCTCTGGGCACACGCCGCACAATCTCGGGCCGGCGGCAGCTTGCTCGCCCCGGTCCGCAGAGCTCGGCGTGAGGGCGTCTCCGGCCGAGGGTGTGAGCGCGCCGCCGGGCCGGACCGGGCTGGGAGCGGGGGAGGAGGGAGGTGGAGCCGGCCGCCCCGGAGCCGCGCGGAGCGGCCAGGTGAGGCGGGGCGCGGGCGACGGCCTACGCGCCCGCCCGCCCCCGGCGTCCGGGAGCCGCTCCGCCCGCGGCCCAGGCTCGGGCCCTCAGCCCGCCCCGCGCGCGCGTCCCCGCCCGCCCGTCCCTCCTCCTCGCCGCCCCTCTCGCGCGCGTCCACCGACTCCCCGGCTCGCGCCGCTCCATGTAGCCCCGGATCCCCGGGAGACTGAGGAGGAGGGGGCGACCGCAAGATGGCGGGTACGTGGCCCCCTGTTCTCCGGGCGGCGGCGGCGCTTCCCCGCGCCCTCTGCCGCCCCGAGTCGAGGCCGGGCCGGGACCGGCGCGGGGAGGCGCCGCGGGGTCCGAGGGCGGGCGACGGGGGTGGCGCGCCGGGTCCTGGGGGGCGCTGACCGGGCCTTTCTTCTCTCCTCTCGGCGCAGACCTGTCGTTGCTCCAGGAGGACCTGCAGGAGGACGCGGACGGATGTGAGTGAGCCTGCCTCGCTGTTGCCGTTGCCGGCGGCCCGCGGGAGCGGCCGGGAAGGAAGGGAGGGCGGCAGCGGCCTGGGCCCGGCCCGGCGGGGGGGACGAGACCAGCGAGGCGTGGCCCTGGGTCGGCCGCGGTCGCGATTTTGAGGGAGAATTGCGCTTGGCTGAGGAAACGGTGTCCCACTGGTGGAGAGATGCCCCGTTGAGTGCCCAGGCTCGTCTGCCCCATCGCCCACCCCTTGTCACCCCCAAATCTCCTGAGGGCTCGGGGACTGCCGGGCCGGCAGTTCTGGAAGAAAAAACTGATGGGACAGAATTTTGAAACGGGATTTTGGGTATGTTTGTTTCCTTTGCGTGCCTTCCGCGGACACCCCTACCCCTTCCCCGGGAAAGGAAGAGGTTAGGAAGGAAGGTGTGTTTTTCTTAAGAGTTGCTCGCAAGTATTACACAGCAGCCGGCTGTAGAGAGCCTGGTCCCTGTTCAGCCCTCTCAGTTCCGTTGCCCCCTTTCTGGTTGTATAGCGATTGCATACCTGTAATTTCACTTTAGCTCTGGACTGTTTTTAGATCACCCCATACCCATTTGATTTGTGAATTACTGGAAGGCCCGAAGGTGTGGCCTTGGCTGGAGTTAGAGGTCTGATTCTTTAAGGCAAATGTTCACAAATCATCCAGATCGCCTTAAATAATTAAATTTCATCTTTGAGAAATCGAAGTTTTAAGAGTCGATTCTTTTGTTAAAAACAACTTTGACATTGTTTCCAGAATAGTTTCAGGAAGGAATTGCTATTTAGAAAGGAATTGTGTATTTCCTGTGTGCTTTTCTAAGCATCAGAGGGTGATAACCATGGTAGAATTTGCATTTAGGGGAAAGCCTGCCTGATGCTGAGATTTACTGTGGCCAATACCTATGTAAGTAATTCGGAGATGGTTGCAGTTTGAAACTGCTCTTTTAAATATTGTATAGTTTATCCTTAGCATTGTCCGATGTGGTTTCCCTTGCCCAAATTAAGCTTAATTTATAAATTCCTGGGTGTTATGAGTGAAGTAAGGGGATTTTGCTGTTTAGAAGGTACTCTAAACAGAGTAAATATTTTAAAAGTAAAAAAATATATATAAATTTTTGCTAAGTCTGGGTTTGTTTTCGTCTTTTAAGTAAAAAGCTCTGTAAGGGAGTGAAACAACTTTTATATTTCCTTTAATGTTCTACCTTAGACCAGGTACCTGCCTACTAGTAAGTTTTAAATGTTAAGGCAGCTATTGATTTCTTGCAAAGTTAGTACTGGAGAGGTGGCTCTGATTGTTATCTCAGACTGGGCTTCTCATTCTTGTATTTAGGGTTAAGACTTTGTAAATAGAAAGTACATTCATTCAGCAGGTGTCTAGAACTTTTCAAAGCAAAAACCGTGTATTCATTTATTTTCACTTAAGTGCCACGCACTCCTAAAGGATGAGATCTAGTGTCAGTTTCCTCATTGACCCTTAAAGGAGCATAGTCTAGCGGGGAAGGCATGCTGGTGAAGAACTCAACAATGATTTATTCATGAGCCTTAAGACTTCTGCTCAGTATTGGGCAGATAGCTGTGCAAAGGATGATCACAATCCATGCCCTCTAGTGGTTTACAGACAATTTTAATGTAAGTGTGATAGTGAAGATACCAAGGCCAGTTTGAGTAGACAAGACTCTAGAGCCAGACCGCTTTGTCCCAGCCTTTGCATCGTCACTTTGGACAGACTCCTGCAACTCACTTAACTTCTTCATGCCTAAGTTTTGTCATTTGTAAACAGGCATGATAAATATTACCTGCCTTACAGAGTTGTTTAGAGCTGTACATAAATGAATGCATGTAAAGCACTTAGAAAAGTATTTGGTAAATAGTGACTATTACGCCTTTGGTGTTACGAGTAAAGAGGAAGCTCAAAAGGAGGAGCAGAGAAGGAAATACTGTTGGACATTATGCTGCAGAATTATATATTCATAGCTGCTGCTAATGCTTGCAATTAATTTTTTTAGGGTTCTGTTCTCAGTGTATTTTAATTTAGGATAAAATGTTAGACATTTGAACGCACAAATAGTTATTTGTATATTTATAATTTAGTTAAAGCCTTATTAGAATAATTTCTTATTTTTCTCAGTTGCTAAAGTTTTTACAGGTGATACCTTGACCCAGAATATTCAGGAACAAAAGACCTTTAGATATCATGCTCAGTTGAAGGACCACTTGCTGTATGTTGTGAAAGGGAGGAATGAGGGGGAAATCTGGCTATCGTGCCTAGGTGGAGGGTGAGATGGTTGGTTAGGGAATGAAAAAGCTTGTCAAATCCTGGAGTAACTGGAAAGGTAAAGGACCGGAGATGTTAGAGAATGGTGTTTGGGCTGCCTCTACAACCACACTATCTTATGAGCTTGATTTTCTGTCTCAGGCACTGATGTGGAGGCCTGTCAGTAGGGTAGTTGTGCACCATATCCTACCACTCCAGCCAGGCTAGGTCTAAGTTGTCCTTTGAGATGGGCAGGAATTATTTTCTGGCCAAACTCTAGAATCCTTGTTGCCTTCCTAAATGTAGAACCAAGACAAAGACAGGAGAGGGTAAATACTGTTGTATACCCAAAATGGACCTGGGCAGGGCCTAGATCTTGAAGGAGGCCTCTGCCAGACCTTACTTAAGAGTCTCAGGTCTTTTGTTTAAACTGCAGACAGAGTCTCTGTATAAAGTCAGTAGAAAAGTGGGTAGAATGGTGAAAAGGATTGATCAAAGATTGAACTTCATTTTGGAGGAAAAGAAACAATTCTGATGTGAAAAGTGGTGCAATGTATGTATATATCAAAAGGTCATAAAGGTAAGCAAATAAAGTCATTATCAGGTACTACTAAGTTTAGGAGAATAATACAATGAAAAACTAAGTTTGTTTATTTTAAAAGTGATACTTCAAATACTGTACTGTGAAATATATTTTGACTTTCAAAGTGAAAGTAATCCTCAGTTTGAATAGATGCTTCAGCAGAGTGACTGCCAATTTGGGTAAACCCTCTCTTCCTTCACTAATGGAAGGCAGTGCAAAAGTACAGATAGGCTTTCAGAGAAAGATATTTTAAATTCTGTCATTTTTCCAAAGATGCAATTCTGACTTACATTTAAGTTGCTAGATTTCTAAAATAGATGAGACAGGACTTAAGATACAGTAAGATGTGATGAATTAATGCTTATAAAAATAATTTTGTTGGAATTTGATTAAAATTTAAATTTTATCAGTGTAGTAATACTTTGAAGAATATTATTTTAAAAGAATGATTACATAACACTTAACAGTTTACAGTACCTTTCATACACAGTTTATTCTTCACAGAAGTCCTGTGATGTGTAGGCCATGGTATTCTGATTTTAATAAATAAATTTAGTGATGGGCAAAGGGACTAAATTATTTTCCCAGGGAACAAAAACTCCTAAGTACCAGCCAGTACTCCTAACTCAAGTGAGACCTCCTGATTCTAAATACTGTATTTTAAATACTGTCTTTTCTTAAATTGTCCAGTTTACAACATTGAACATCCCTAGGTTGTCATATAGGCAACTTGTTTGAAAACATGCTTAAAATACCCTTGGAGATTAATCTAGCATGCTGCATATGTTTTAATTTAAACTAGAGAGAGATCATTAGAATGAAGCTTGGGTGTAATAGAGCTTACAGTCTTTATGTTACCTTTTCTTTCAGCTGTAACTAGCATGATGGTGAAGAGCTTTTGGAGCTGTATTATACCATATCCATGGAATTTGTCCTATTTGTTGAAGCTTTGGAATCCTTTTACATTATATTGTTTTTCAGGTTTGAGGGCAGTATTAAAATGCAGTGAATTAATAAGGGGTCCAAAACTAATTGGATGTAACTACCTAACTATGTGCCTTTCAAAGAGTCTCTGGGCCCTCAGACTATGTTTGAAAACTGGTTTTGATAAGCTTAGAGTCCTTGCCACCTAGGGAAGTAAGAAATAAAAAACAGGGGTTGTGTCCAGTAGTACCCAGGGAATCAGTCAAAAACCCGGAGAAGGTGCCCTTGAAAGTCATGATATTTAGAAGTGTTGTTAAGTAGGGATTTGGAAGAGTGAGTCATGAGACTTGGTAGCATGTTTTGAGTGCTATCAACAAGACTGGACAGGAGAAGTCTTTATTTAGAGGTAATATAATTCATATTGTAGGAAAAAGTGCTTTAAACTGGT